GTGGTGGTTCTTGTGCAGCTCTGTGCGGTGGTTCCTCTCTGGTAGGAGCAGATGTAAAAGGCACTAGGTGATGGCAGTTGCACTGCAGTACTCCACCTCGCTCTGTCTTGACCACGTAGCTTCGTGGCCTTTGCCCTGGACTGAGGACTGTACCTTGCACTTCCTCGGGATGCACCCAGACACGCTGACTGGTTTGGAGGGGTGGCAGGTCTCATGCTCCGTGATGGACATTGAAGTTGTCTGTCTGCTTCCGCTTGTAAGCTGCATCCTTAGCAGTGACGCCTTTCCCTGACGGCCAGTTGGGACGTAGCTTAGATTTTTGTTTCGGGACCTCGGTTCTGAGTTGGCATCCCATTAACAGCTGGGCTGGGCTGAAGCCATCAACGCCTGGAGTATCCCAATAGCTGAGCAGAGCCAGATGAGGGTCGCTCAACTTGCAGAACAGGTCCTTGACTGTACAAACCATCGTCTCTGCTTCTCCGTTCGATTGAGCATAGTATGGACTACTGGTCGCATGTTTGAAGCCGTACGATGCTGCGAATGATGCAAATTCTTGCGACGAGAACGGTGGGCTGTTGTCTGACCTGACCTCTTGGAGGATTCCGTGTCTGGCAAAGATGCTTTTGAGAGCGTTGATGACTGCCTGAGCTGTCGTGCTTCTCAGGGTAACCACCTCAGGGAGCCTCGAGTAATAGTCCACCACTAGGATGAACGTCTTGCCATTGAGGTGGCGTCCAGGTAGGGCCATGGAGACCAGGGGCTCTGCAAGGTTCACGCGGGTGAAGGCACACTGTTTGCAATTGGCGACGAGAGAAGCGATGTCTGCAGAGATGCCCGGCCACCAAACTAATTCCCGGGCTAGGGCTTTGGTTCTGTTGATGCTCTGATGACCTTTGTGCAACAGCGTCAAGACCGCATACCGAAGGGATGATGGGATGACTATACGGGGCCTTTGAGCAAAACATCATTGCAGACTGAGAGCTCGTCTACCACAGAGGCATACTTCGAAAAATGCAGTGGCATCTTTCATCTGGGGCCAACCCTGCTGGCAGAAGGAAATGAGAACCTTGCACTCTCTATTGGACACTTGTGCCTGTCGTATGTCTTCATGGCTCAGTGGCAAGACATTCGATGTGCAGCTGACGACTTGTGCTGTGAAGGGTTACATTGTTTCGAGGGGAGTAGATGCCTTGACGATTCCAGACAAGGTATCTGCTGTGGCTAGCAGTTTTCCCGGCACGTATTGCATCAGAAATTGGTATTGCTTTATTCTGAGTCGCAGTCTCTGAATACGAGGTGTCAACATAGCCAGCTCCATCTTGGTCAGGAGTTGCCCCGCCGTGGTAGTCTAGTGGCTAAGGTACTCGGCTGCTGACCCGCAGGTCGCGGGATCGAATCCCGTCTGCTGGCGGCTGCATTTCCGATGGAGGCGCAAATGTTGTAGGCCCGTGTGCTCAGATTTGGGTGCACATTAAAGAACCCCAGGTGGTCGAAATATCCGGAGCCCTCCACAACGGCGTCTCTCATAATCATGTGATGGTTTTGGGACGTTAAACCCCACATATCAATCAATCAATCTTGCCCAGGAGTGAAATGAGTGACAGGTGGTCAGTCTCGATGTCGAAGTTGATGCCGTGGACAAACTTGTCAAACCTTTGAATAGCCCATGTCGTTGCCAAAGCCTCTTTTTCGTTCTGGCTGTAACACTGTTCGATCTCAGTCAGTGACCTCGAAGCGAATGCCACAGGGCGGCGCTCTCCCGAGGGTTGCATCTGTAGCAAGACTGCACCGAGTCTGAACGAGCTGGCGTCTGCAGACATTTCAGTGGCGTACGGTGAATGGTACTTAGCCATGCACCTGTCTGATGTCAAAAGTTTCTTAATTTTCTTGAATGCAGCCTTTTGCTCATGCTGCAACACCCAACTTGCGGACTTGCTGAATAAAGCTCTGATGGGTGCTGTGACGTGCAAGATGTGTGGTAAAAATCTGGTGAGATAATTCACCATTCCCAGCAGTCTTCTAACGCCGGCGACGTTATTTCCATGGCTTTGAATGCTTCGATCTTGCTTGGATCTGGCTTGGATCTGGCCTGATGCCCTCTGCTGAGACAACTTTGAGGAAGGAGACCTCAGATACCCCAAAACGACATTTGTCCTGGTTCAGTGTGATGCCTGCTTTTGCAAGGCGGGACAGCACCTGGCTCAGTCTAGCATTATGCTCTTGGCGGGTGCGTACAAAAAACAGATTGTCATTGATCATATTGGCGACTCCATCCTGGCCCTCCAAGATTCTTGACATCTGTTTTTGGAAGTATTCGGGCGCGGAGGTGATACCATAGGGGAGCCGGCAAAAGCAGTAGCGGCCATATGGTGTAATGAACGTCATGAGTTCTTGGCAATTGGCCATGAGCTTAACCTGGTGGAAGCTTGCCGTCGCATCGAGCTTTGAAAAAACTGTTAGATCACCAAGGAGGCCAAGGACTTGCTCCACAGTTCAAAGAATATGACAATGACTAAGTACGACCTTCTTCAGTTTCGTCAAATCAATGCACAGCCGACAGGAACCATCGTTTTCGCATACGACAACGTGACAGGAGCACCATGGTGTAAGCTTGTCGACCCTGCGAATCACGCCGGCGCTTTCAAATTTGTCCAGCTCAGGGCGGACGACCTCGAGCAACGGGATAGGGATCCTGTGGGGGACTCTTAGCGAGAAGGGCACGGCATCAGGTTTCAGCCGGATGATGTGCTTGTCTTTCAGAGTGCCCAGTCCTTTGAAGAGCTCGGAATGCAGCATTGCCTTTGGAGTCTTTAGTTCGTCAAGAAACTTTACTACTTTCAAGGCTTGCAGTGCAGGCAGTCCCAGAAGAGGTACAGTGACACCGTATGTCGTAGAGGCGCTGGCAACTTGTTTTTCCTTGCCACCAAAGTCGTGCCAAATACGAGCCTAGCACGCAAAGTGGCAGTCCTCCCAAGCCAGTGAGCAAGCTGTCGACTTGGTCGAGCTTGGCGGGCAGCATAGGGAAGTCCCTGGGCACGGCAAATACTTCGGCGCCGAAGTCGACCTTGAACTGCACCGTGTAATTGTCAACGGTAACGTCGACGAACATTGCCGTGGTGGGCGTTCCGACGGTGTGTAAATTAATGGAGCCAAGCTTTTTCTGTTTGTACTTTCTCAAGCGGCACACTTCAGTAAAGTGGCCTTTCTTTTTGCAAAAATTGCAGGCGAAGTGTCGAGCTGGACAGTCCGAATGTCGGTGAGGGGCGCGGCTGCAGAATTCACATGTGGATGGCTCGCGGGCGTGCTCTGCTTGCGGCTGCTGCGCAGAAGGCTTGGCTCTGGAACGACGAGAGGTGGGCTTGTCCGCTTTTGCGGCATCGAGGTTAAGCTCACACGAGTTCTCTGTTCGGTTCTGAAATACTTTTTTTATCGGTGTCTTCGGATTGATGGGCCTGAGTCCATGCTTCCTTGAGTGTTAGGTTCACGTTTTGGCACAGCTGGTCCAAGAGGCAGGAGTTGCGAAGGCCGACGACCAACCGGTCATGTATGAGCTTTTCCTTGGCGGCAGCTGACTGATAGTTACAGCGCTTCACCATGCTGCATAGCTCTGCGTAGTACGCATCGATGCTTTTGTCCGGCAGCTGGGCGCGTCGGTGAAACCGTCACAACTCGTAGAGCTGGTTGGCTGGGTGCATGAAATGCTCAGTGAAGCAAGCGGCAACGACTTTGTATGAGGCTAGCGACAGGGCGTCAAGAAAAAAAGTCTCAAGGAGCGGGCGGGCGTCCGGGCCCATGCATTACATTAACGAGCGTACCTGCATGTCTTCCGACGCTTTTGTGAGCCCCGAAACTACTGCATAGCCTTCGTAGCGGCGGAGCCATGTTGCCCATGTTGCCGAGTTCGCGAAGTCAAACGCAGCCTGTGGCTCGAGGTTGACGTCGTACAGTTGCGGCAGTTGCCGCGGCTCGCTTGTCTCGTTGAAGGACATCGTGTTGCTGTTCAGTCGTGATGAGGCTTAAGGCTAAGGGCATTGTTCATTGGCTATCCCACTTCTGACAACATGTCACCTGGTTAGTGTCACGAAGGGGCACGGGCATGCAAGAACCGACACACAAGCTGGCTCCCTGGACAGAGCTGGGTTCCCCACCTTTATTGGGACCGACATATATAGATATACACAGAAAGCACAGGGGGCGCCACACTTTGGTGGCAGCCTAGTCAAAGCACTGAAACGTGCCAACCTCCACATGGTCGACCGAGGGTTGAAAAGAGGGTGTTTAGATGGAAGAAGAGAGTGGAGGTTTGGGATTGGACTCGGGCAGACGCCGGAGTGCTGCAAAAAAGCGTCTCGTCATCGGACTGCGGGTCTTCCTTCACCCTGCCACCGAGCACTCGAGTCATCAAGGGGCACCCGTTCCGAACCTCAACACCTGTTCTCCTTAGCCAGGGTAGAAGCTAGCCGAGGAGAAGGAAATTAACTGTGAGTGAAAAGTGTTTCGGTCGTTTCAACTTTCTTTTTCTTTTGGTGGTAGAATGGTAAAAGGGTCAAAGAACCCCTGGTGGTCAAATTTAGTCGACAGACATACACTGCAGTATGTCTCACGATCGTATCGGCATTTAGGCACTCTATAAAAAGAATAAGTAATGGTTGTTTAAGTTGATGGGAGTTCATGCTCTTTGGTTGCTGCCACTTGTTTTGCGATGCTCTGTTGTCTTGGAATAACAAACCTCATGCAGAAAGTTAATTTTCATGGAAACTAGTAATCACTGCAATTGAAAGTGTTTTCAGTGGCTTTGTGGAATAATGTTGAAAATCACTGTTTTAAAGCTTCTTGCACTGCTCCATAAAAATGGCTGTTTTGTGCATAGAGTGATCAAACTGCCACCACTACACTGGACAGTAGTTTTCTTGGAACACATCTGGGATGCATGTGATATGTGTGACAAGAAATGGTTTCCTAAGACCCCTGTCGTGATGCCTCACTGTATATTTGTGCAGTGCCAAGTTTGGGAGGAAAATCTCGTACATGAACCACCTGCATGAGTTGAAGCAGCATGTCCACTATGACCAGCTGCGAATACCAGAACAGGTGCTTGAGTGAGTGACCTACTTCTTCCATTTCTCACAAGGAGGTAGAATATTGCCACAAGCATTTACACCAGCTAATTGCGTACAGTGATAAAAAAAAAAAGCTGCAAGCCAGTAGGAAAGGCAAGTAGCCCCTCCACCTGTATTCATTCACGTTGCGGCGTCTCCCTGTCGTCTGCTTGCACACACAAGGCGAGTAAAGCGAACACATGGCTGCACCTGTTGTAGCGGGTGCCCTCCGCTTTGATTTTATCAAGTCGTCATTGTGAGCTGTGTGACCCGTAAGTTACAAAGTGATGGTTATATTTGCGTTAATGTGCTGATTTTTTAGCGCTGATTTATTTGTGACAGTACTCGTCTAACTCCATTATTCATTATCAAATTCTCGGCACATTAGGCTTACCAAGCGTGGCTGAACAAACAGCTGACCTCGCACAAATGAAGACAAAATGTGCCTAATGCTTTGTCTTCATTGTGAAGTGGCACAAAGTGATGGCTTATTTCACCATTTATTAGTTGCTGCCAGCGCAGTGGGCAAATAGCCAATGCAAGTTCGGATCACAGTAATGATCGTGTCTACAGGAGCGCTGGTATGCTCATTAGTAACCACATTTACTGGTGGTTACTGATAATGTAATTAAATGCCCAGGACATCAATGCGAAGAAGACTAAACATATGAAGCATCATTGGGATGTAATACATGCCAAACTGCCGCAAACGTCTCTACCTTCCAAATTGTAAGGTAATCAAATCTGGAACTATGATTTGCTATGCAAGCATGTGGCCTGGTGGTGCTGAATGGTAGTGATGAGATGGCTTGGGCTAATGTTAATCGACTTTGTATTTTGGAACGAATGTTACGGTGTTCAAACTTGCTTTGAAACAAATTTAGTTTAGTCTTAGTTTCAAAGTATTCAAGTGTTGAATAACATGCAAAAGCTGCATGTAACTTCCCGTATAGGTGGTTTCACTGTGGTGGAGTGATACTATGCCGCTAATACATCTATTCAGGAAACATTTGCACTGCCGCAAAGCTCCTCCGTGAAGTTAAGCGTTTATATTAGCCTTGCATCAATTTGTAATTTTAAATGCGAAGCATTTCTTCATGTACTGCAGGCACTTAGAGCGTCAGTGTTTGTATCAATCTAACTATCTATCTATCTAGCCGCCTAAGTCTGGGGGCTCTTGTGATCACCCCCTTAAATGTAAACCAAAATTAGTTTGGGAGGGTAAGATGATTTGACGAATATGACTTGCTGGTCATGACATGGTCAATGGCGCAATCTTTTTGCATACGTCATTAAACCCTTCCTGCCAGACGTGTGGTGCATACCTGCAGGCAGGTGTATCTACCCAGGAATGGCGAGAACAGACATTGGTAATTTTAACACGTTACCGTTAAGAAAAAAACTGACATTAACAGGGTTGACCAGATGAAAAGCAAAGAACAAAAAAATTCGGCAGGTCCTACGTACCTTGGGAATCGATGTTATGTGAAGCATGCGAGTGGAAGGTGACTCTGTTGAAATATTTCTCTTGAGCCAAACTTCATGCAACTTCAACTAAAGATATCTACGAATGCATGCACAGACATACATTAAACAGCCGCATATGTTTCTTTATAACCAGTTGTTTACACTTGTATAACGATGTCAACAGCAACATGGCTATACTTGAACCTGCTTATATCGAACGTCCCACATCCATACATCAATTAACTCACGGCCCTCAGTCCCCAGTGGCTGTGAAGCAACTGACCACGGCGGCAGTCAGATATGCAATGCAACAGAGGGTGCTAAGAATCTTCGGGTCCTGACAGGCCACTATTGGAACCTGAACTTGGCAACGTTTAACTCTAGAACCTTATCTAGTGAGGCAAGTCTAGCTGTACTATTCGAGGAGCTAAAGGGTATTAAATGGGATGTAATAGGGCTCAGTGACGTTAGGAGGACAGATGAGGCCTATACAGTGCTACAGAATGGGCACATCCTGTGCTATAATGACTTGGTTGACAGAAGAGAACTGGGAGTGGGATTCCTTATCCACAGAAACATAGCTGGCAACATAGAGGAATAGCATTAACGAAAGGGTGCTAGGTATCGCAGTTAAACTCAATAAAGAGGGACGGAAGCTTGCACGAGATACAAGATGAAGGTCGTACAGACTTATGCGCCTACATCCAGCCATGATGATGCGTCAGTTGAAAGCTTCTACGAAGACTTGGAATTGGCAATGAGTTAGGTAAAAACACAGTTTACTATACTGATGGGAGACTTCAATGCCAAGGTATGGAAGAAGCAGGCTGGAGACCAGGCATAGCGAGATTACGGCATCGGTACTAGAAATGCCAGAGAGGAGCTATTAGTAGAATTCGCAAAACGCAATGATTTACGGATATTGAATACCTTTTACGGAAAACGAGGGAACCGTAAGTGGACATCGAGGAGACCTAATGGCGAAAGTAATAACGAAATAGACTTCATACTGAGTGCACACCCAGGCATTTTGCAGGATGTTTAAGTGATTGGCAAAGTTCGATGCAGTGACCATAGAATGGTACAGTCTCGAATTCGCCTGGACTTGAAGAAGGAACGACAGAAACTGATACGCAAAAAGACAATAAATGAGCTAGCACTGAGAGCGAAGGGACAGGAATTCAGAATCTCACTTCAGGACAAGTACTCGGCTCTTATCGAGGAAACCAGCCTTAGCATTGTTGCAATGAATGATAATCTGACGAGTATTATTACGAAGTGTGCAGTGGAAGTTGGTACGGTAGTTAAACAGGACACTGGCAATCTGTCCCAGGAAACGAAGAACCTCATCAAGAAGCGTCAAAGCATGAAAGCCTCAAGTACAACAGACAAAATAGAGTCGGCAGAGCTTGCGAAGTTGATTAAGAAGCGTAAGGTATCTGATGTAAGAAGATATAACATGGAGAGGATTGAACACGCTTTGAAGAATGGAGGTAGCTTCAAAGCAGTGAAGAGGAAACTTGAAATAGGCAAAAATCAGATGTATGCACTAAAGGACAAAGAAGGCAAAATAACTACCAATATGGATAGGATAGTTAAAATAGCAGAGAAGTTTTCCAGAGATCTGTTTAGAAACTGGGACAATCACAACCTTACTATAAGAACTAGCAGTAACCCAGATATCACCCCACCAGTAATAATAAAAGAAGTCAGAAAAGCCTTGGAGAGTATACAAAAAGGCAAAGCTGCTGGTGAGCATCAGGTAACATCAGATCTGCTGAAAGATAGAGGACAAATTGTGTTGGAAAAAATTGGCCCCGTATCTGCATATTACACCGCAAATGTCGTCGAGAGACGACAGTCTTGCGTCTGGAGAGAGTGAACAAAACGTTATTTGATGTTCTAAAACAATCGGTAAATGGTATTCTGGAGGCGCTGCTATAGAGTGCCTCGAACGTGCAGCGGAGGTGAACGAGCGTATCAAGTCACGTCACACGAGAGACATGAGCGCAATCTGGCAGTTATCCTAGAAAAGGGGGCGCGCGCCATGCGCGGCCATCTCTGAGGCGATAATGTGTAGAACGCAAGGCGACGGGTAGGTGACACCACCATGTTGTCTTAACAAAGCGTTGGAAACACTTGCCGTTTCGTGCAAGCCTTGCATGGCCAGCACAGCATTATAAAGGCTACGATCTTTATCACCTCTTTCAGCTGAAGTTATCAGTTGTCATGTATAAGTTTTTTCACGGTAATGTGCATATAGATGGCATTGTCTTGGAAAGCCTTGTAAAGAATAATATTACTAGGTTTTCTGAGCTTGATAACCGTCTTCTGCCTAAAGTTCGCACAAACTACGGCAAGTTCACTACCAAATTTACAAGAATCAAGCTGTGGAATTCCCTTCCTTACGTAATAAAATCATCAACCACAGAACATGCATTCAAAAACCAAGTAAAAAAATATTTTTTGCAACAGTTGTCTTCATCTTAGCAACTGCTTTTTAATGTAGCGATAACAATTGCAACATGTTATATTATCCTTGCGTTTTCTATTACAACTTACGCTTGTTTGTTCCTCAAGTTTTTTTTTTGCCTTGCTAAACATATATGCATTTTCTACTTTTGTTTTTTCACACTGCGCTTCTTTTTTCTTACTCAAGGTACCGTAACAACTGAATGTTGTATATTTTGTTTCGTCTCCCGTTAACATCATGTATGGGAGGATTGGGTCGGCTGTTTGGAGTATCGTTCGGTCATTTTGGTGCCCTTTAGGGTACCGTCAAGGGTGGACAAACAGACGAATGTACAGACAGACAGACCGAAATTCTTGCGTCGGAGGTCCCCAAGAAAGACTGTCGTCTTTAAAACTAGCCACCATGTTTACGAGGTGTCTCCAGACAGGAAGGGTACCAGAATCTTGAAAGAATGCTAACATCATCTTAATACACAAGAAAGGAGATGACAAGGACTTGAAGTATTACAGGCCGATCGTTTGCTCTCTGTTGTATACAAGCTATTTACAAAAGTAATTGCTAACAGAATCAAATCAACATTAGAATTCAATCAACCAAAGGAAAAAGCAGGATTTTTAACAGGCTACTCAATAATCGACCACTTTCATACTATCAATCAGGTAATAGAGAAATGCTCAAAATACAGCCAACCACTATACATAGCCGTCATAGATTACGAAAAGGCATTTGATTCAGTAGAAATATCAGCGATCATACAGACAATGGGGAATCAGGGCGTCGACGAAGCATATATAAACATCCTGGAAGAAATCTACAGGGAATCAACTGCTACCATAGTGCTTCATATAAAAAGCAACAGAATATCAATAAAAAAAGGTGTAGAGCAGGGGGATACAATCCTCCAATGCTATGGGGGATACAATCTCTCCAATGCTATATACCATGTGCTTACAGGAGGTTTTCAGAGGCCTAGAATGGGAAGAGTTAGGGATAAAAGTTAATGGAGAGTACCTTAGTAACCTGCGCTTTGACGATGACATTGCGTTGCTCAGTAACTCAGGGGATGAATTGCAACTCATGATTATAGAGTTAGACAAGGAGAGCAGAAAGGTAGGTCTTAAAATAATCTGCAGAAGATGAAAGTAATGTAGAACAACCTCGGAAGAGAACAGTGCTTCGAGATAGGTAATAGTGTATTAGAAGTTGTGAAAGACTATGTCTACTTTGGACAGGTAATACCGTATTCACTCCATTCTACAGCGCCCTCAATTGTAACGCGCACCCGATTTACACGACAAAAAAAAAAGTAAGGCATCGATTGCAACGCGCACCCATTTTTCTCGCTGGCCCGCACGATCACACCACTCAAAAAAACGACTCCTTTTAGGAGATTCTTCTATTTAATTATGAGGTACGGGGCCTTTCCTTTCCTCTAGTTAGCCAGCACCAGCTCACTTTAAACTGGTTCTGCATTAGACTTTTTTCCAATGCTAATTGCATAGCCCGCACTTAGAGCAGTTCTGTCGTCACAGGCCGCTGTGTTGCTCGCTGCTCAAGCACATACTCGCCAAGCAGCTCTTCAATTTGCGGAAACCGACCCTACTGTGGTCCACTGAAGCCTTTGCGTGAAGCTTTGCTGTCAGCAGTCTTCTGTTTTTGTTTCCGCCAGTCCCGCACGCACATTTCGGGAACTCCGAACGCCCGCGATGTGGCCCGATTTTCGTCCGTTTCTGCACACGCGATGACTTTTCTTTTAAAAGTGCCATCGTGGTGCACTCGAGTTTTTTGAGTCCGCCCTTCCATGCCGTCGATGCTAATGCACTACAAGATGAACTCCTCAGCACACGTTCGATGTGCCGCACATGGGAAACACATAGGCAGAAATGGCCGACGCACCATGCCGACGCGTGTAGGGGGCGGCCACTTTGGAAATGGCGATGGCAATAGAATGACCGTATTCATTTTTTTTTCGTACTCGATTCTAAGGCGCATGCGATTTATGAACTCGCTTAACCGAAAAAAAGGTGCTCGTTATGTTCGAGTAATTACGGTAAGCATGAAGCCAAACCAAGAGATTGAAGTAACTGGAAGAATAAGAATAAGGTGGAGCACATTTAGCAGGCACTCTCAAATTATGACAATTAGATTGCCACTACACCTCAAGAGGAAGATATATAACAGCTGCATCTTGCGGGTACTTAGCTGCGGAGCAGAGACCTGGAGACTTACAAAGAGGGTTCAGCTTAAATTTAGGACGACGTAGCGAGCAATGGAAAGGAAAATGGTAGGTGTAACCTTAAGAGACAAGAAGAGAGCAGAGTGCATTAGGGAACAAACGGGGGTTAAGGATATCATAGTTGAAATCAAGAAGAGGAAATGGACATGGGTCGGGCATGTAGCGTGTAGACAGGATAACTGCTGGTCATCAAGGGTAACTTACTGGATTCCCAGAGAAGGCAAGTGGGTTAGGGGAAGACAGAAAGTTAGGTGGGCAGATGAGATTAAGAAGTTTGCGGGTATAAAATGGCAGCAGTGAGCACAGGAAGGAGTTGACTGGCGGAACATGGGAGAGGCCTTTGTCCTGCAGTGGACATAGTCAGGCTGATGATGATGGTGATGATATCGAACCTTCATTTAACGAATTACTCAATATAGCGGAAGTTTTTCGGTTCCCCATCATGACTCCACAGAAGCACATGTATCTACGATGTATATGCATTAAAGTAACAGCCGGAGACATCCTTGAAATTTCCACATTCCTTCCTTTGTGATCGCCCCATTTCACTATCAGTAATTCACGGCGCAAACTGTGCCTATAGTGTTCGAGAAGCCTCAGGACTGAGGTAGATCATTTTGTTAAGATTACGCCCACTTTGTCAACATTGCAGATTATTGTGGAACTTGTGTTACTGCTAGCGATAATGCTATGATATTCTATATCAAGTGTATAAATGCCAACACGCTTCGTCGTTTGTCAGTTGATCGATCAGTGCCAGTGGGCATCGCTGTAATGTGACCTTCAGTTTACGGGCCACAAGTTCAACCGAATAAACAGCTTCATCTTGTAAGACAGTCTGCTTCGTTCATTTACGTCACGACCCCATGACAATATAACAAACTTTAGCCACAGACAGTCTGGGAATTTTACTCGGATTTTGTCATTTCGGCATGAGCATGAATCTTCCGCGGTTGCCCCTCCACCGACGGCGTGCTCGTGGCCCCGGAGACTCCCAGGCGAAAGCGAGCGCGAGGCGGGCAGGCAGGCCTGCACCTCACGAGCCTTGGGCGCATGCACGGATGTGCCCTTCCCCTCCCTCCTTTCAAACAAACAAACAGAAAAACTTTTACGTAGCACTGCCACACTTTTAGTTAGCGTTGCTCATGCGGCGTCGCGCTGCATATCGAGGGCGCTTTACCAAATAGTTTTTCATGCTGTCATTGTCGTTCGCTCTTTGTTTTGGACGCCTTGCACACACATGGTGCAACCCCCGACGACATTCAGCTTTGATTTTTTCTTTTTTAATGTGGACAACGGTGTCGTCACTATCGAGGGGATGTCATATTAGGGGGCGGTTGAAACTCTCCGAGACGGCGACAGATTTTCAGAGGTCAACTTGTCACGTGCTTCTAACTTGCGCCGCAAGTTCGCGAGACCGTAGCCTTCGCGATGCACCATTTAGCTCTGGCAACAACATGGCAGCGCGTTGAATGAAATGCAGTCAATGTTAAGCAACAAATTTTAATGTTATACAAAGTAAAGCTAGCAGCCAACTCTTTTGGATTGGATATCACGGAACTCTACAAAACGCTTGTTTAAGCAAATACGGCCTGCTCCAGGGATGTGCTCTTTTCATAGTCTCTTCTCGATGAAAAAGCAAAGGGCAGACGGACAAACGGACGGACAGACGGACAAGTGGGTGGGTGGGTGGGTAAGTAAGTACATCCACCCACCCACCCACCCACCCACCCACCCACCCACCCACCCACCCACCCAAAAGAGCACATCCCTGGAGCGGCCGTATTTGCTTAACAAGCGTTTTGTAGAGTTCCGTGATATCCAATCCAAAAGAGTTGGCTGCTAGCTTTACTTTGTATAACATTAAAACTTGTTGCTTAACATTGACTGCATTTCATTCAATGCGCTGCCGTGTTGTTGCCAGAGCTAAATGGTGCATCGCGAAGGCTACGGTCTCGCGAACTTGCGGCGCAAGTTAGAAGCACGTGACAAGTTGACCTCTGAAAATCTGTCGCCGTCTCCGAGAGTTTCAGTGGGTGGGTGGGTGGATGGATGGATGGATGGATGGATGGATGGATGGACTGGACGGACGGACGGACGGACGGACGGACGGACGGACGGACGGACGGGCGGGCGGGCGGGCGGGCGGGCGGGCGGGCGGGCGGGCGGGCGGGCGGGCGGGCGGGCGGGCGGGCGGGCGGGTGTGTGTGTGTGTGTGTGTGTGTGTGTGTGTGTGTGTGTGTGCGTGCGTGCGTGTGTGTGTGTGTGTGTGTGTGTGTGTGTGTGTGTGTGTGTGTGTGGACGGACGGACGGACGGACGGACTAATATGAAATATATGAAGCTGTTGAATGTCTGTCTCTGTCTCTACATGCATTTGCAATAATAAATAACAATACAGTGACCTTCCATCTGCGTGCTTTGCTTAACATTGTTTCCCAAGGTTCGTGGGATCTGCGGAATTTTTTTAAGTTTAAATGTTTGGTAAAATACTTATTCAGTGTTGCTTCCAGTTGCGTTAATCAAAAAGAATGACATTTGCACATGCTTTGTTTCAATATTGAAAAAATATATCATTTGAAATTGATCCGAAATTATTCAACTAATCTACTGTTTGCTTCGAGTTAGCTTTGAACCTAGAATTCACCCGTTCTGAGAAAACATTTTTGCTCCCCTCAAGGGATTGTTTTGAGTGTGAAGAAGCTTTGTTGCAGGCATGACCGAACGCTCCTGTCCAAGGGAGCACGCCTCCCCCACTCTCAGAGCAGCGGATTCTTCGCTGCTGCTGGTGCACCCACATATCAGCCCACACAGCAGTTTCGGGCCTCCCTCGAGCAGTGAGTAGTCCATTTCTGTTTGAATAGGCTCTTGTGGGCCGAGGTATATGTCACCACAGCATTATGCTGCTCGTATCCACCTAGTGGACAGATCTGCTTCGGCGGAATGTGTTCAAATACTCAAAAATAGTGGCAAGCCGTCATGCCATGGCACTCTTGATCATGCCGCGCTGAGCCTGCAAGCACATTCCTAGAGTAAAAGAAAGAAAACGGAACAATGTAGAGTAAAAGGACAATCAAATCAACTTTACAAATGTGAACTTGCATATGAACATGTTCAGATATTTCAGAATGATGCTGGAAATGCGTACCGACCTTCCAGGTTCGTCATGTGGGCAGCTGTGTTAAGCACGATTTGAGCGCTAGATCACACACGGCCTTCATAATGTGCGTCCAAAAGTTGATCTCTGGGGCAGCATTCGTTGCGGTGAAATGCATTCCATCTTTCTCATGTCCGTTGAGAGTTGTGATAGCTTCGTGATGTTAAGATCACGTTGCTGAAAAAGGACTGTAAACTAGGCATGCTTCTCGCCAAACTCCAGCCAATCAGTGGAGGCCGAAGTGGATAGTCCACAAGGAGGGTACATCAAGAATCACGCCCCTGGCTAGCCTTGTGCAGAGTTCGTAGTAGCTCATAACGAAAGGGTTGGTTTTGGTATGTAGGAGATGTAAATAGAGAGAGAACTAGTGTTAGCCATGAGGGTCAGAAAGCAAAAAAATTTGGAAATACAGAATGTGCCATTGCCACACTACAGTCATAAGAGACTTCAGTGCAGAAGGAGAGTTAAAGGAATAAATGTCAGTATAGTGGAACTTCATTGAACTTCCATGCTGTTGTTTTGACGAAGATGTAGTCCATCTCAGACGTGAAGCTAAATGAAGTGTTTTGCAAACGAAGCTCAGCGTTCTTTGTTAGTGGTGAAACGAAGTACTCTCGTCCTCAGCAGTTTGCAATTCGGAAAAAAACTGCAACCACTATATTGCCACAGTCAACATCTTGGCAATGTTAAACACTTCTTTGTTGCACGACAGATTCATAACTCGTGGCCTGGATATCTGACACCATGCACCAGCAGGCTGCATAAGACCCAGAACAAAAGTTTTTAATTGTTGCAGCATCTTGGGTCTTTGAGGTATACGCATCGAGAATGGGACAAAGAAGCAGACACGTAGCACAAACTTCTAATATTCTCTCCTTGGGAGCCTCCCCATTACGTCATTGTCACCAGGATATCTGTTCTGCTGTACAAAGATTATCAATCGAATCAAGGCAGTTTAGATTGCAAATATCTAAATTAGTCAAATTAGTTTTTTTAAATTCATTAGATTTAAAAGTAATATGTGATCCACTATCTAAATAATTGTTTCTTTGCCAATCCCCCTGAGTGGGTGAGAGCCATTAATTTAGGCCATCGTTATCTTCTTTTTCTTCTCTGTCCCATCCTGGATGCGCTATATATCAGATGCTGTGGATAGCGAACAAGCCTGCTGTGCAACTTTAGCTAACAGCATCGTGGTTCTTATAAGTACTGCTGGTAGCATCGTTGCTAGGTCGTTCAGATGATAGTAATACACTGGGACTTTTTTCTGTGCAGCATCAAGAAGCACAACAATGGGGACCCGATTCCAAATGTCGTTCGGGACTGTGTCACTTACCTGGACAATGATATTGGTATGTCTTCATGTTGCCTGTCAAGAGCACAATAGAGTTCGGCAAAGCATATGGCACTGGCAGCCCTAACACTGTGGGCTGCCTCTTGAGGCAGAGGGCCGAGTGGCATGAGGCCGACACACCGAAGGCTGCACAGCAAATAGAAACCACTTGGCGAATCGATAACAATAATTACAAAACAAATAGAAATCACTCAGAACGCATGTCACAAGTTTCCAATATATGTAATATCAAGTTACAAGTGAAAAAATAACTATGTATTACAGCTAACTTTGGCACCGAACATGTTTGGCCAGCTTGCAAATATCTACATCAAGGTTGTTCGCTTGCTCAGAGGCATTCATTGGTTTGCTAGGGGGGATGGGCAGGGTACCAATACTGCCCTGAAGGTCACACACGGTTGTCGACTCGTGGGTAAGTTGGTAGCACCGTGGTCAAACATGCTTGTTTGTTACTGCCGTTCTTTTCATGCAGGCCCTGTGACACTGACTGGGTTTATAAAGCCACATTTATCGACCTCTAATGCCCTTTCTGCACTGATGGTCAACGAACTGAACTGTAGCAGAATGGCGTTGTTGGCCTTGTGGTTACATTTAATAAAAAAGACATGACCCCAAGGACCTTGTCTTAGACAGGTGCCTTGTCTTCTGCAATTTTTTTCTCTCCACAAACTTTGTGCATTTCAAACTTCCCTCTACGCCACTTGTAGAGTGATAGTTTTCACTTAATAATGTAACATTTTGCTACGTAGAATGGTATAAATAGGGGTTTTTGGCCTCTTTACGTTACCTATTTACTAGATAGCATAATATATCTGTGCATGCCCAGGCCTTTACGGAACATAAACTATGCACTCGGCAGATAGGCTCTACGTTTTTGGCCCTATCTCACAAGTCCACCTTTGTTCATGGCTACGAGCAATCTGGGCTTCGCGGATACTCCAACCATCAAGTCAAAATAAGCAGAAGTGTGCGTCCAAATTGCAATCACCTTTTACCGAAGCTTAGAGGGACTTAAAATACCGTAGCTGTAAACGTGAGTGGCCTAAAGCCCCCGGACAGGCTGGATAAATGGCATTATCTAGAGGAGTTGAGCTGAACCAGGCTAGCAAAAATTAGTTGTTGCAGAAAGATTGTGCATTCTGCTACTTGTGTAATTGCCTTGCAGCAGAAAAATTGTGATTCAGTTTCTTTCTATTCATTTTACCCTCAGAAATACTAGGGAATAATAAGTATCTCCATGATTTTGGTCGCACGGAGCGTCACAGGATGTCAACACCATCAACAGGTGACCCAGTATTTTTACAGCAGCTTCTTGTCCATAATCACTATCACGAAATAAGAAAAATACCTTAGTACCAAGGACACAGTGAGGCTCGAACTCGGGTCTGCTGGGTGCCAGCCAAGAGCCACGCCAGTGCTTGGAACTTGTTCGCAAACTTGCCTTAGGCAGGCTTGGTGTCTGGAAAGGAATTGCGTTAATATGAGTAATAAAGCGTTTTAGAACCGAAAAAGAACCAGTCATCACACAATGGGAATAGCGTAATGAGTGGGACGTGCAATGCTTCAGCCCATTACAAAAGCTTGTTTTTGTTTACTTAAGGGGGGACGCGGCCTTCGAAAACCGAAAAAATGTCAAAAAAGTTTATTTTTAGAAAACAGTATATTTGGTCAGTATAATCTATAAACTACCTCCTCTGTAAATATCAGCGCCGAATTCGCGCTAAAAGTACCTCAAATAAAATATTTAGCTAGCCGAGGCAGCACCTGAGGAGCGCGTGATCGTCAAAAATACCCTAATTTCGCGCGCACGCCGTTTCTCCCCCGCTCAACCGAGCGGCCGTCATCTTGGTCTCGTTTTGTTCGTGATTTCTTGCTTTTTTTTTCCCGCCATCAGCGGTGACAACAACGGCGTGGTCGAGGCCTAACTGGCTTGCGATTGAGTAGCGCGTGGGATATTCGAGTTTCCCGCTTTTCAAACGCGGAGCTACAATTGGACGGAGCGCGCGCTCCTTCGGAGCGAGGGGAAACGAGTGGTTGCTATTGGCTGGTGCGCGCGCTCACGTGCTCATCTCCCACGCATGGTGCGGCTGCCGCGCCGGCCGCGCGGCTTGTTGTCTGCTCCGACTTGTTCGTTGCAAAGGTTCTCCGTGTGCTTCTTCGTCTTTTGCGATTGGCCTCGGCACTGTCGTGCAAACCGTCTTCACGAGACGATAGTTCTGCGCAGCCCCCCGATCGTCGAGTTCTCCCGTGCCTTCTGCTTGAACAGTCGCAAGTTGCCGGATGCACGACCGACGCAGCTCTTTGTGCCGAGGAGGCTCTTCAAAAGCTTTGCACGTGGTTTGCGGCGATGGATCGCACGCTTCGCAGGAAACGCGCGACTGCGCTCGCTTTCGGTAAACGAAAGCGCCGACCGCCTATTCCACGGCATTCGCGGAAACGCCCAACAAGTCGGCAGTCAGTCGGCGATAACGAATTCACCCTGGATCCTCAGCCGTCAACAAGTTATCGCAACCCAGCGGACAATGCAGAGGTGGTGCGACGCAGGTGCGTGTCAGAGTCATCAACTGAAGGCATGCTTATCGATGTTATCACACATCAACGTGAGGCTGCACGCTCGCCTAACCGAGATCGGGCTGTTGAACATGACGGTCGGTGAAACGATCGATGCGGAAATGACAGGTGCGTCGGCAGATGCCGTAAATCAACGGAGTGATAACGAGACTTTACTCGGCGAGCGTCGTACCATTCAAGGGCATATTCAACCAAGCTTTCTGTCCGCGCAAACGGCAGAGGCGCAGTCGACAACAGTTCGCGAGTCGCTCGGCGCGATGTCGGCAACTGAGCGGAAATTCGCACTGACAGCGTCTCAGGAACGCGAAACTACACCTGCGCCAGAAGAAGAATACGTGCTTATGCAGATGACCGCTCTGAACGCGATGATTGGGAAAACACTCTGCCCAATTCGCCATGAGCAAGACCTCGCTGTGGACCGGGACACAAGGCTTGGACTTGCCGTGAAAATGGTGCTTATATGTCGTTCTTGCGGCACAGCCAGCTCTCACTGGTTGTCAAAGAGAAAAGAAGGTGCGAGAGTCTTCGATGTAAATGTTAGATCAGTGCAGGCAATCAGGTGCATTGGAAAAGGACCTACTGCTATAAATGACTTCTGGGCAGTGATGAATGTGTCGCACAGAGGACTGCTGGGCAGTGATGAATGTGTCGCACAGAGGACTGCACCAGAAGACTTATCAACGCCACTTAAAGAATGTGATGAAGCCAGCTGCCAAAGTGGCTGCACAAACTGTTTTGACAGATGCTGTACAGGCCGTCAAGAACACATACGAAGAAATGGAAGTGAACTTCACGAAAAACATTACAGTGGTGTATGATGGCACATGGCTAACTCGTGGGCACAGCTCGCACATTGGTGTAGGCTGTGTTATTGAATTTTACACGGGTCTGGAGATTGACTGCACAGTCTTGTCTAATTTCTGCCTTGGGTGTACGCTAGGGCCACCTGAAAGCCACCCTACATATGAAGAATGGAGGAAGGCTCACGAGTGCCAAAAAAACACCGATGTAGGCGCAGGGCGCATGGAAGTTGAAGCTGCACTGCAGCTTTTTGGGCGCTCCATCAGCAAGAACGACCTCAGGTACACAAACGTAATTTGTGATGGAGACAGCCGCACCTACACAGCCCTGTGCAATGATCAGACATATGGATTCATACCACTCACAAAGGAGGACTGTGTGAATCATGTCCAGAAAAGAATGGGCACTGCGCTCCGCTCTCTTGTGAGCAAAGCAAAAAAGGGAGAGGCACTTGGTGGAAGAGGTGGCCTTACGCAAGATCTTATAAAGAGGCTCACCAGCTATTATGGCCTAGCCCTGCGAAGCAACACAGATGTGCAAGATATGCAAAGGGCGGTGATGGCAACACTCCACCACATTTCATCCACTGATGCCGAGCCCCATCATCAGCTGTGTCGTCCTGGTGCCCTCAGCTGGTGCAGGCACCGTTCAGCAGAAGCAGAAGGAAAGTCACCACCTCCACACAAGTACAACCTTCCTAGCAAGGTTGTAGAAGCACTGCGGCCCATCTACCAACGCCTTTCCGACCCTCAACTGCTGGCTCGATGTAGCGGCAACAAGACTCAAAATGCTGCCGAGAGCCTCCACTCAGTGATTTGGTCACTGATATCTAAGCAGCAGCATGCCTCCCTCTTCACTGTGGAAGCAGCAGTGCATGAAGCTGTTGCAAAGTACCATGCAGGCAGCTTGCGAGCTTACACCGAGATTTGCACTGCACTAGGTGTAAAACCGGGGGCCGTTGCCCTCCAGAGGGCTGCAGAAAAGGACAGCCAGCGGGCTAAAAAATCATCAAACATGCACCAGATGAAGAAACAGAGGACCAAAAGGCCACCTGCAGGCATGGACATCAAAGACTACTGTTCTGGTGCATTTTGATGAAGGTGAAGTGCTACAAAAACTTTGAAAGCCATTTTCTCTGAAGTGTGTTTTGGGCACGTAGTGTTGCTTGTGAAAAGTGTAGCGTGGCAGTGACTGGACCGATTTTGATGCTTTTTTTTTTTTTTAATCCTTGAAGTCTTGTTGACAGGATGACATTATTCTTTACATTGCTTAGGGCCTAGTTTTTTTTGCATGTGCTAACTAGTGCATGAGAAGTTCTGATGCAATACATGAAGCTGATGGGGATGTTATTTGTAAAAAAACTAAAAGGAATAGACAATTTTTGATAATGTCATCCTGTGTAGTGTTCTTTTGAGTAAAGATCAAAACCACTTGGATCTTCCTGGCATGTTTTGTTACAATGCTAGGCTTTTCACCAGCAGACTATGTCATCAGATTATGTAACATAGTGTAATTTGAAAACTACTCGAGATATCGCAATGAAACTTCATATATAGCTATACGAGACACTCTTCAGTATGCCTGCCAAATTTCATTACTCTAGCTCAACAAACAAAAAAGTTTTTT